TGTTTGTTCAAAAATTATAAAAAGGTAATTTTTTGACTCGTCTCTCGCGTCGTTAATATTTACATTAGCGGCAATTTATTTACATTAATGTATCTATGTGTACATGTGCTTTAAATAATGTCAAAGTTTCCCGAAAACTCAACATTTTCCGTGAAAATGAGTTCAAAATTCCGCATTTAGAGAAACGCTCACCGCAATTTTCTTAAAAACGGTTCCAAATTTATTCTTCAAACTTCTCCAACGGAGAGTGCTCATTGCACTGTTTAAGATGACGTACAATTAATTTTGCTGTATTAATTTCTTTTTAAAAATGTATTTTTTGAAAGATATATCACGCCTTCAATATGCACATTTCTAACAATTCGTAAACACAATTGCATATGTGACTGGAAGTGCTAGATACATATCTTTTTTTTTTTTTTCGAAAACTCGATAGTTTTCTGTAAAGAAGAATTTACAGTAGCCCTCAAATGCGATTTTCTTAAAACTGTTCCAATTTTTTCAAAGAAAATTGCCATTTAGCATCTGGTTTTACTGTTTTTTAATATTTTTAAAATAATATTTCCGTTTTAATATTAGAAAGCCTAAAAATTAAGAAAATTTAAAAAAAAAATTTGGGCGGCGATAGATGGTAGCTGGCAAGTCCGAATTGCTAGCCGAGACCAACGGAAATAGAAAACTAATACGGGAAAGTCTGTGCCATTTGTAGCAGTAGTTCAATATAAATCAGTACGAATTGTTTCTAGGAATAAGTTGTACTTTTATACCACAAAAAATAATTCATTAAAACCCTCTCAAATATCGAATTTCCAAAATTTTGCTTTTGACCCCTATTACCCTCATATGCGGGTATTAGGACTCACTAAAGAAATATGTAACAAAATATATACATTAAGAAACATATACAAAAAGAAATATGTACATTAGTACTTCAGACTATTTATTTTGTTTGTAATAATTGTAGACGTCTGAAGTAATGCGACTCCTAAGGTTGTCCATGATCAGCAGCACTTCGTCCTGGGCAGTTGGTCAAATAAGTATTTTTTAAGTGTTTGAACCATTCGATGAATTCTTCATCCGTCCAGCCATTCTTGCTACATGCGCAAATAGCGTCAGAGGGCCATTTAAATTCATTCGCATCAATAAATTATTTTGTCTGGGACAATGGAAGTCACCCTGCGATGAGAATCACTAATTACCCTCCCAAGAACATTTTTATCACAACTACACACAAACTTTTAAAGAAAGTTTAAAATTACCCGCAAACGGTATCAAATTGCTGAAGTACCTCCCTTCCAACAAATTTTAATTCTTTAGGAAACTGCAAGTTCGCGTGAGTAAGGCCTTATTTTCTGAGAGCACTTTCAACCACTCACTTTCATCGTACAAACGCAATAATCATCTATGTAAGCTTTCTTTATCAGCGACTATAAACTGGCTAGTTATCATGACTAATGGTAGGTAGAAACATATGTTTTTACCTTTGAATATGATTTGATTTCAGTATTTGTCTATAATTTACCGCTGACTCCCATTACCTCCGCTCCCCGTACTGTTTTCAAAGTAGTTAAGGTAACACAATTTTGCACATAAAACACGAGATTCTCCCTCCTATTCGTGTAATGCACTCTACTAGCGTATGTACAAAACATATCTCTGATATCTTCCTCCCAAATAAGCAACTTGGTACAATGTGTATTTAGCAGTTCAACTAACAATAAATTGTGGTGTTCCGCTTTGAAAACATTTACAAAATATTTACAGCGCGAAACGATGGCAGCTTAAGACTTCAGAAAATTGTGGTTCTCAAAATTACTTCGGGGGGGGGGGGTCACAAAAATGCGGTGGGAGTGAGCAGGTTTCTCATCCAACCCCCGTCAGCTCTGCGAATACTAGCACAGCCAAACCCCCCCCCCTCCCACGTTTTAGGATTGTTTGCGAGTGTCCCAACCCAGAGCTTAATTGTTTTAAAAATGACCAATTCCTGTTATAACTATTGTTTGTACGTTGACACTAAAACGTTAGTTTAATGTAGCAAATGCCGCTCTATGAAATTTCAACGCGGTTGCGCGCCCAACAACCTCTCCCTTCGACATCGGCCTCTGATATTCATTCGCGTGAACCTTTTGTCTCACGGCGTAATCCCTTCTCCAGTACATTGAGGTGGTTGACTAACATCATGGAGCAACAACCCCAACTACCCACTGATAGCCTATGGATTGCCGACGCCTTTACCATTGCGGGAACTGGGTAGCATCTCGGAGTTAAGGGGTCGTCCATAATTTACGTAACGCTAGAGGTGGGAGGGGTCTGAGGAAGCGTTACGCTCCGTTACATAGGGGGTAGGGGGGTTTTAATTGTTATGTAACAGATTTTTTTTTACTTTTTTCAGCATTTGCTGAAATAATTTTGTCCTGTCCTTTTTTGAGTCCTGTACTAAAACATTAAAATATTAACTAATTAAATCGGTTTAAAAACAAACTAATTTATAAGTTGTAAATTATTACAATGAAAATATATTTTCCATTTTTTTATCTGTAAGATTACAAAGAAAATATTCAAAACAGATATGAATTATATCCTAGAATCCATTTCAATTGGCACTGTAGACTCTCCCTCTTGCTTCATCCATGATGGCAAGGACATAGCTTGTGATCAACCATTTCTCCCCCAACCACTCGTCCTTCATAACTTGCCCCAATCTTATTGTTAGGTTCAGCCAGTATCGCCAACTAATTTCTGCTTTATGTCTTTAATTACACTTTATATAGAACACATGTATAATAAATAAAAATTGTTTTTATTGAGCTATAATTTATTTTCACTACTTGCATTTACAAGGAGGATGTGTTCTCGCAAGCATTACGTACTTATTTAGGGGGGTTCAAGTGTGTGTTACAAGGGAGGGAGGGGATATTGAAAATACTTCAAATTTGTGTTACGGAATTTATGGGCGGCCCCTAACCATTTGGAGTACACCAACGGATCCTCTTGTATCTGCAAGCTGCTAGTGAATGCAAGGAAATTGTGATGCAATTGCGACTCAAGAGAAATTACACAAATGAAACATTTATGCATCTCACATTAACTAAACATATTTAAATAGCTGAACATTTGGGAAGAGCAGCCATTGACTAGCATGCCAATATGATAAAAATATATGAACATTTTGAAGCTGTGACTAAAGTTCTACTAAAATGTTTGAAGTTTACCATAGTGTTCTATTCCAAAGAAGATTGACAGGTATTGAATACCTAATGAATTTTAAAATTTCATTTCATAGCATTTGCAACCAGTCGTTTCATGTTTATAGTTATTTGGAAATGACATTTGTTTTGGTCTAGAATTATGTAAGTTTTAGACACAAGCTATTTGTTCTTAAATATTTTACTTACCACATGAAGGTGGGTATTCAACTTTTATATTATACTACACATTTATACCAATGGGATTTTGGAAACATATCCAGCAGTGATGAACTTTTCACCAAAATCATTCTTATCTGTTTTTGTCACAGATCTCAATTAGTCATTTATGAATTTGATATAAATTCTTATTTACATTTTACCATGCACATTACGGTTCTCGATACACCAAAAATCAAATTATTTTTGTGCATATAATGACACTCAAAATTGCATCACTTATTTAGCATTTAATAATGCAGTACAACTCGTGGTATTTCACCAAACAATTCATATTCAAATTTTTAAATAAACTAATGTATCGTTAAGGATAATAAATATTTCACACATGAATTTTAATGACAGAAATTATGGATTTAATATACTAGGACTACACTGTAAACAATTTAAAAAACTCAAATACATGAGATCAGGAACTACAAAGTACTTCACAAAACTTTAAATAGACAATGTGAATGCAAAAAATATTCATGCAAATCACTAAAAAAGAAAAGAAAACAAAAGCTCTATACAAATAGAGTATCACAAACATTAGGAATCAGAACAAAATACATCCATAGCTCTCTCAAATTTTTTCATAAAAAAATGTCCCAACAGATGTGTGAATTTGCATCCAGAAAGGACCAATCCAGTAAAAATGTTCACAAATCCAAGACGATGAGTAGCCATCAATAATCATCTCTTCAGTTTCTCTATCCACAGGTTACACAACAATGAAATCCAGATCCCTACATCAAATAGAACAACAAACTTAAATTGAACCTCTTAACTGCCTAAGTTACAAAAATAATGTTTGTACTAGAGGTCAGTCTGATGTGCATTCACTCATGCAAATTCAAAATATTTGGCTTTAGAATAAATATCTTTGACACACATTAAATCTACTCTGGACAACAAGCAACCTAACAGTATTCTGTAAATCACAAAACAATAGCAAAAGCTTTCTCCAATCAAATGCACATTTTTCTATGAATCAATAAAAGCAGCACAGGCCAAGCATCAAAATGCGAGTGCACAAAATAAATAACTGCCCATAATTAGTACAATATGAGCTAAGCAAATATCCCAAGTTATGACATCAATAAGCTCTTAATACATAGGTTAGTCTTATTATGAGCATGCTCTCTTTCATTAATATCTGAGCAACACAACCTTCACGTCAAGTAAAGTTCACAAAAAATTATTGCCCAATATCTTACACTAATCCCCACAAGAATAAACTATTAACATATTTTTAATTTCACATATCAATAGGATTAGGTACTTTAATGTATCACTCTCGAGATATTTAATCCAAATATATAAAACGTTTGAAATGTCTCGCATGAAATAATTTGTAGCACTACTGTGCACACACCAGAATACACATCATTTCAGGATGTGAATCGCAAAAAAGAAAAGGTACCTGGTACCTTTTCTTTTACCAAAGGAACTATATGAAGAGCAGAACTATGTTACTTAAAAAATCTGAACTGATTGGCAAATTTGTAATGAAATTGCCCCATATTTAAAATATATCTCTTAACTGCATGTTTCATAAGGAAGAAACAAGGACTTGAAAATTTCATCAACTAAAACTCAAAAATTCTTACAGTAAATATCACTGAACACAAGATATTTAGTTATAAAGAATGTGGTCACACTCAGGGGTGCCCAGAAGTGGGAATTGCTAGGGCAACTTACCCCAGGGCCTGATTTAATTGCAAAACCTGATTTTTTTATTGTGATTTTTTTTTTTAGAGAAAACAATTATTTACTTGTAAATCTAAATAAAGTTATTTCTATTGCTTGATGAAATAAATTTTGTTTGTGCTAAGGAGTGGGAATGGAAGTGGGAGTGGGAGGGAAATAAGGGACCCCCATGGATCTACTGCCCCACACCTGTGGTATTCTCTGGGCGCCCCTGCACATAATGGCTTCATTTAAAATATATTTGCACGTTAACTTCAGATAGGTGTTCTTTGGACTCTACTGACAGCATAAACTAACAGGCAATGGGGAACAATTTCCTTCATATAAGTTCAACAGCTATGTACATCAATTCCTAACTAGATGTCCATCATAGAAAATTATACTTGCAAGGAAAACCTGGACAGGTTTTCCAAAATGTGGCTACACTTAAAACAGTTCTGATAATTAAATTTTAAATGTTTCATAAAATCCTGGCAATACTGAGCAAAGCTAATAACGAAAAGCTTAATCAAAAACCAATTATTTCCGGGAAATCCAGATAAGTTATGCAGAAAAAAAACGCCTTGTGAGGCTCAGTAAGTACATGTCACAATAAAACACAAAGTTACATAACTACAAAGGGAACATCATAATCAACTTAAAAAAAGAAGAACTATAGTTCCTTGTATTACATCAGCAAGCAAATACAGGAACAAGTTGCTCCTTAATATCTCACCATCAGCAGTACCATAACCAAACACTTCCTTACCTTTCCTCTAATTAATCAAATAAATCTACCCAACCACAAGTATCTTTAATCATAACACTACAGTATTTTGGAATTTTTTTCCTTATTACAAATCAGTATTCTGGTGTAGAAATTCAAAATAAAAAAAGTGTTAACAAGTCTTTACAAGGAAAACAATGAAGCAAAAATACTTGCATAATATTAAAACTATCACTGAATGTTCAGAACAAAAATGTTCGGAACAAAATGATTAAAAAAATACCTTTAATATATCACTGGAAGTTATGGCAAAGTCCACAGACCACAGAAAGTATAAAGTATTTGTGAACTTTCCTTCACGTACTGAATTAAACATCAGCAAGTGACACAATAAAAACTCGCCATTAATACATATAAAAATAAATAAATAAAAACATTCAGCAAGCCATGTCAAGCATTTGCCATCACTTTTTGAAAGGTTTTGACTTTTCCATGGGTGGGGGTGGAGGGTCTGAACCCAACCACGTCATCTTTTGAAAGCGGCCTTTGATGACAGGAGCCTGCCACTTGCTGGCAGGGGGTGGCTGCTGCGGAGAGGGCGATGACATCTCGTCGATGACACGTGGGCTGCCACCAACAACACAAGCAAACCAACAGTGCTAGTGCTGTGCCTGCACTGGTGCTGGGAGCTGGCTGTCACAGAGCTTGGAGAAATCCCAAATACTTATGCAAGAAAACCCCCTTAAAAGCAATTTATGAAGTTTAAATTATACAAAAAAATTTTTAAGATAAAATTAATAATAATATAATTACAATCAGTGAAAACACCCTTTATCACAATTATAAACTATGCAAGCAACACAGTGTCCTTTTACATCCACTTTATCCCACTAATATTCAGAGATAAAGAATATAATAAATTAACGTTGAATGTTCAGAAAGTACGCAAACTCGAAGTCCCCCCAGGCCGAATGATTTCAACCTTCTCCAACTCTGTGAAAGCCTCGCCAGGAGAAGAGGGCAAAGCACTCTATCTCCAAATACTTAAGCATTCCCCTTTGAAGAAAATTCTCAAACTGTTCAAGACGTTCAGTTTACTCCCAATGAAAACATGGTTAATGAACCATCAAGCCCCTGGAAAATAAAATTATTAAGAAAGAAAGATAATTCTTTCTGACAACTTAATTTTTTTCAAATCATTCTGAATTCACGTTTCTCCTATTAAAATGCAACCAGTTTGAGAATTTCTCATTCAGTCATGCAAACATAACAGGTTAATAACAGGCCAAACCATCATCCAACATACTTTCCTTTTCCTCCATAAAAAGTGGTTGTGTTAGTTTCAGGACAATTCATTCCATCATTATGAAAAAATATGTAGTTAAACATTCTAAACAAAATTAATGACAAATATTTTGAATTAGTTTACTAACAGAATAAGTTTGCAATTATTCGCTTAAATCAAATTCCTACAGCTGTACTTGCTGAATCTGGAAAAAGAAAGTATCGCAAGCTCTCACGGAAGTTTTCATTTTCTCAGGCAAAAGCTGACAGTTTCAAACACGACACAATGTACATTCAATTCAATAAAAATTACCCCTAAAAGTGGATTTGAAATTAATTTTTCATCTTTATTCTTAATATGCTATTATCATTCTTCAGTATCTAGAATTTAAGACACTTAAAAAATATTGGTATTTCGTATTTTAATTGAAATAAATCTAAGATGTCAAATGGCCAGGAAAAAGAAATTTCAAAAATTTGAATACCAAGACTCAGCTCAATTTATGACTCCTATTAATTTGCATAAATTAACAATTTTATGGCATATTTATTCTAACTTCCAACATTAAAATACTCCAAATGTGCAAATTACCCAATTATTTCCAAAATTAAATTTGAGGTCTCTTAAAAAATCTGAGTATTTCATTTTCAACACACATTTTATTAATTTAAATACTTACAAGTCATCAATATTATTTCTTCAAATTTCTCCCTGCGTACACATGAATATCCCAGAAATAATAGTAATATTTCAATTATGCAAGATTTGAATATGTAAGTGAAATGGAAGTATTAAGGAAAAAAACAAAATTGTCATATTAGAGTAAGTAACATACTAGTACAATAGGAGCAAAGGCAAATAGAACACTTCTCAACAATCATCCAAAATAAAAATTTGTGAATCAGTTTTGAGGTCCAAATATCTATATTTACTCAGCAAATATCTATATTTTGGACCCCCCAAGTGATCATCCCTCCTCCTCAACCAAGCAGACCTGTTACTTTCCAAGACTCCAATGTGTAAAGAAAGAAACGTTGACAATGCATAGCAATAAGATAGGCGGAGCACAAAGCCTTCAAGGTCCCACCTTATATACTGAAGATGGCAAAGATGTCTCTACAACTAGCCCCATCCTTGTTCTTTACAAAGACCCTCACAAATTTTCAAGGAAAGAGCATTGGACATCTGGCCCATAAAACAAACTTTCACGCATGACCACCAAGTTGATCAATTTATTTGGAGGGAGAAAATAATTCTTCCTTGAAATAATTTTTGGGAATTGCAAACAGAGCAAATGCAAATAGAGAAAGCAAACTTTTTCAGCATGAATTACACAATTTTTCATTTTTTACCAAAATGAAGTTTTTTTAACACTGATGTCTTTAGAATAACAAAACTTAATATTATTCTGGCACATTTGTCTAAATGAAAAATTTTATTAACAACCTTACGTTTCCACACATCTGAAATAACAGGTAATGAATTACTCAGCAATTATCACTGAAGATGGAATGCATTACCAGTTTTTATTAATATTCACAACAGAGAGATTGATTTTAAACTTTTCAGTATCAGCTCATAGAACTGTTTTTATCAACAAAAATTTGTGAAATGTCTTTAATCAGAAGCTTTGCAATTTTTCCAGTGCAAGGAAGTTATTACCCAATTTCAAAATTTTCAAGTAGTCTCCTCACCAAAAAAGCAAGAATACCAATTGGGTAGATAATAATATTAAAAATGTTAGGCATAAACATTGCCATCGCATGCAAAGTAGTTAAGCATCTGTAAAGAACCTTGGTCACACCATGCTATTAATGTGAACAAAGCACAGTAAACATTACTTGTGGAAAATTCCCTTTAAACATGGTATTACACACACTTCTAGATTAATTCCAAGGCATATTAAGCATAATTTGATTTGGCATTAACTGTTTATGTAGTGGCATAACTAAGATGTAATGGGCTCCCAAGCAAAAATATGTCAATGGGCGTATTCTACAAATTGTTTTGAATTATAAAGGTCTAGTTACTGTGTCATATTACATGTAACATAAGAAATAGATTTGATCTAACTTTTCTGTGGAACTGCTCTCACAATATTAATTTATAAATCATGAGAAAGTAAACTTTGCAATTTCCAAATACAAGTCAAAAAAACTAACTGAACATTAGAACAATATTAATATTAACACACTTAACGTTCATAAGCATCTCAACCTTCTGAGACCCCCTACCTGTGGCCCCTGCTGGAAGCTGTATCATTTAGTTATGCCTCCATTTCCAAGCCATCATCATACGCTCACACAATCACACACATATTCATACTAGCTTCTTCTGCTACAATTGTCACAACACATGACATCTCCATGACAAGGTATGCAGCTAATGAATTTTAAGGTTTTCATTATTTAGTCATTTATTTTTAACATTTCTTATGGTACAATAAAATTTTAGAAACCAATTAAAGTTTCTTTTAGTGAAATGGAGCAAAATACATATTGGCCTAAAACCTTTATGCTCAGGCTCTCTGCTCACAGCAGTCACTTCCACTAGGCCTCCTTCAAAATAACCATTCATAAGGTCACTTCAATAATAATATAATCAAACATGGTATGGTAACTGCTTCTTTTCTTAAGACACTACTGAATAGCCCCTACATTTCAAATGTTTTACCATGTGTGAGTGTATGTAGTTTAGTTGGATACAGTACATGCAATGCTATCTGAAACATGTATCACTTTCTTCACTAGTTTTTCTACAAAAGCCCAAAAAAGAAAAATGTAGATACGTTTAACAAATTCACAGAGACGTGGAATTCCCCCCCAAGTTCTAATATAAGGAAAATTACTGTTTGTATTCTTCTTAGTGAAACAAGATAATTTTTTCATGTCATCAACTGTTTATTCATTGGAACACTGTTTTATACCAGATTTATACAAATTAGAAGCACCTAATTTTATTCTTCCATTTTTTGTGAAAATTTGAATTCACATATTAAAATCTAAAGAGACTTGTGAATATTACATAATAAAAAATCCAAGCATTAATAAAGCACAAGATGGAAAACAAGTTTTTATTACACTACTGAATTATCTCATCATCTCCAGCACTTTGTTATTACGCTCCTGTTCAACTCTCTTAATATCTTCCATAACATATAGGTGACTTTAACAGTGATGAGTTACAAAGTTCCTCTGTAGATAACCAAGAAATTCTCAATTCCAGTGTCATTTGTACTTTGCATCTTGTATTTTTATACAGCTATGGAATGAACTGCAAAGGTTTAAATACTAGCTGAATGGGAGGGATTCTTTCCAATTTCTGAACAGTCAGAAGGGCCTCTCAATCTTTTTCAGAAGTTTAGAAACTTTTAGAAAACAATTTAGACTTCTTCCACATTTCATCTATCTCATTGTGCCTAGGCTTCATACTTATGAAGTCTTACCTCAAAAACAAAACACCAATTCTTGTCTCATTAAGAAACGGCAATGAAATATATTAGTAACAATTATTGCAACAACTTCTTACAGTACAAAAAATGTGTATAGCATAGTCAGCTAAAAACAAATTGGCAAGGTTTGTGATTTCTTCATCCCTCCTTGTTCAGGCTGCACCCCTGAGACACATCCAATGAGAACTAAAACTAAAAGTGAAGTCAGGAGACCAAGTTTTCCTACTCCTATTAGGCCCTGTAATAATGAAACTTCAAATTAACATTGCTCAAATATGCCCTAACAAGAAGAGTTTCATTCCTTTCTCTTTTTGTTAAAGATATAACATCTCATAGATGTAAATATATTAAAGCCCTATTAAAAAGGCAGTTCCAAGAAGTGTTCAGAAATAAACTGCAAAATATTTAACACTCCAAAGCTCCCTTCCCATGGAAACTACATTTTCAAATTTTCAAGCACTGACTTCTGCCATTCAAGATCAAAAAAATCTCTCCTAGAAAAGGAGTTTCCAACAGCTTAAAGTAAATATGCCCTGCACCATAAAATGCTCAGACATATTAGTAAGTTTCCCATAACTTCCTATTCAGGCTATTTACTATTAAGGGAATTAAATAAAAATAAAATATAAAGACAACAACACAGATTTATCATATCAATAAGCAACGGAATTGAGCAGAATGTTAAAGCAGAAATAAAATACAAGTGATAAATGTGACTATCAACTATGCAAATTTCCAATTAACATTATATCAATGTGTACAAAATACAAACGTCCACTTGAAATCTTTATTTTATTGGATTTTATACTAAAATCAATCTTGTTGCTTGGCATTGCATGCAGTTTCTTTGCAATGCCTTCTACTAATGAAATCTGACGACAATTTTTATAGCATTTCTGCTGTTTCTCAAGCCACTAACTTTGCATATACTGCATATGAACACACGCAATTCACCTTTTCCTATTCTCTCCATTCCATAGGCAATGAACTAAATAAATGAATTCATGGTATATTTAAAACGACACAACTCAATACAAAAAATAACTAATATTATATGTGTGTTAAGTCAAGTTGAAAAATCAATTATTAGACTATTCAATGAAGTAGAAAGTTAATTCACAAAGTAAGAAGAAAAAGTGTAACAAAATATAAAATGCCTAGTTGACCTTTCTCTCTCATAAGTGTTCTGCATTTGCTCTGTGTATGCAAACATGTTAAAATGAACGGATTAACAGATAATCAAACAAGGAATACTAATATAATAAGGAAAAGTGTTATGATAAGCTTTCATAAGTTAATAAGCACATTTCATCAGCACAAAATTCAACTATTAATAGTACATCACTATTTTCAACTCTTCTATAAAGTAATAAATACTTAAATGGGAAACTTAGCATGGCAGTGATATGCAATTAAACCAGCTTATATAAAATCTGTACTTTCTGAATAAAAAGAGTGTAAAATGGCTAAACTCCATCCCATTATTTAGGTAAAGGTTTTCAATTCTCAAATACATTTGCAGGTACAGAAAATTTCAGACGCACAATTAGCAAATCACGAATCCTGCCCTGAGCTGTGACATCTTCAATACTCTATGCAGAGAACCTGAGAAGGACTTTCTCCACGTTCACCTTGGTCAGTGCCAGGCTACCTGGTTGGGGTTACTAATTGTACCCAACTTATAATACCTGGCAGTGCTTTGGGTAGCAGAAGCCATCACTCCCACGGGGGTGGCCAGGGCTGTGGAAGCAGACTCATTCTGCGCCTGGGTGCCATCACCTTTCAGTACTGATACACACTTCCAATTGTGCAGGTAATTGGCTGAAATATAACACAGCAAGTACTTTAAATTACCATAAGATATTGTATATCAAAGTTCTTTATAGTACTAGTTTCATCCATGTTTTTCAGTATTCCACTACAACTAATCTGGGTAATTATTTCAAGTTTTCTCTCATACAAGATCAAGATGTTTTTCGTTTATAAAAATTGTGTACATGAAAGAATGATAGCAAAATCATAGTACTTGTTTTTTTTAAAATAAATTAACTATTTTTTCTCTTTGTCAAATAAGTAATTCAATCTGTTTTAAAATAGACATCAGCGGGAAATATAAATGTTTTCATCCTTAAAAATGCGTGACCATCTCATCACATGAGTTAATAAAAGCAAAAGACTTTTTAACTTAGATTACACTCCAATATAAATAGCGGTAATGTCACCAGAAATACTTTTTGTTTCAATAAATATATCCGGTGGGGCTACATTACATTTTTCCACGGAACCTTTTTCTATTTTTATTTTTATGATTATTATAATTATGGTTTTTATTATAATTATTATTATTGTTATTATTATCATTATAATATTTTCCTTAAACAATTTTAGAGAATGATGACTATCAATTGTATAAATAAAATACATTACCTTTGTGTCTATATACAAATACTTACAGTACAATTAAATAAAAAAAAGTATATATTTCAACACTCCATTGATGGTAAACAATTTTTTTGTTAGTTCCCTAAACTATTACTCACTTTGAGAATACGATGTAGCTGCAAAAGAAAAGAAAAATCTATACACCCATTCCAATCTACATATCCAATTACATAAGAAGTAGCTAATTCATTTCCAATCAACAGTTTTCTAAACTGAGTAGTGAATTCCTATGCAGAATAGTAGGGAAAACAAGAAGGGTTTGGATAAGAAGTAGCACAATTAGAGAAGAACTAAAAGTTACACTGCTACTGAAGGAAATGAAAACAAGGCTCTGAAGCAGTATGGACATGTTAATAGAAGCCGAAACAAATGATTGAAGCCAGGCCAGAGGGAAAGAGACCACCTGGAAGACCAAGAGAAACGTGGGATGCATATATGCAAGACATATGCCCTGGGAGCGGAGGAACTATACTAGGACAGGTGAAGTGTAAGGCACAAGACAAAGAATATGGCAAATGGCTAACCCGATGCTGAGAGGCATCAGAGGAAGAAGAAGAAGAGTAGTCAAATAATATTTAGAGTACGTAAAAGACAGATTTATTGAATAATTTGATTCCATATTATGAACCTCACCTCTAGAGACCAGATGTTAGGCACTAAACAAATTCAAAAGTCGCAGGCAGAAAGGAACAAAAAATATTTAAAATATAGTTTAAAAATTTTGTGTCGCAATTTTAAAATAAATCAATCTATTTGTGTATTATAATGTAATTCTGAAATTTGTGTTGAAACAGTTGAAATTAGTATTAAACTTTTATAAAATATTGACATTAATGCTGACAAAAGAACTATCACAGTTGCAAGACGTGTGAATATGATCACTGACCATTTCACAAACAATGTGCTATGAAATTAAATAAATCTTTAAATTATACTTTATTTAGTTAGGACAACACATCCACACACATATCTGAGGAACTATTATTTGCACTTAAAATAACAGATCTGAATTCAAAAGGAACAATAAGACCTGATACTTGTTTCTGGATACCACTACATAATTATCAGTCTATAAGATATTTTTCCAGCCATTAGAAATAGCAATTGATTGCTCTTGAAATTTTCCACTATTATATTTTGTCTTCTATCACATACCTTAACCAACTAATAAGCTAATGGGTTAAATGGGCACTAATAGGTTAAAATATATTGCTCAAAACTGAAAAACAAAGAATCATATCTATGTTTTCAATACATTAAAAAATCTGAATTACTGTTTATCATTTGACCTTTACTCCCAGCATTAAAATATAAGGGTGTCAACCATTACATCCAGGGGGATGAGTGTTTTATTTCATTCTTCAAAATGCATCATCCTAGCTATCATACCTAATGTTTATACAGATACCTAGTAATATCTAGTCTTCTTTAGAGTTTCTTGCCTAGTATACTCATGTACTCCAACTAGTTAACAATGGTTGCAAAGGCAGAGCAGGATTGAAACCTTTTGGAAAGCATGTTTGGGAATAAGTCTAAAAGATAATGCAAACAATGTGTTTGGGACTTACTTATTGTTGTTAAGGAAAAAAGCCAGCAAGGCAAAATCGTTTGAAGCAACATAATTGGAAGTTCTAGAGCTGTATTACTATTTTATTTCAAAAGTTTGTGACTATCTTAATTAAAATCATATTTACCCAGTTACAATGAACTTTCATACAATAAAACAAAACATTAGAACCACTGAGCACTTGCAAAAAGACACTTACAATATGTTGTTTTTCTTAAACATATCCAGGGGCAACAGAAATTTTTAAACAAAGGTTAGGTATTCTTAAGCCCAATGAAGAAATTACCATAACTACATACTAACACCTCTTACAGTGAACACAGGAAAATATTCTTCTACAAATCGAACCATTAGGAACTGGAACATTTTACCTGTATCAGTTCTATTCTTTCTCTTATTTGAGCTATTCTTTCCGTTATAGAGAAACCTTCCTGAAAGTGTGAATGGGTTTGACAACCGATTGGTAAAATTTGTAACAAGATGGAATATGAAGCAATGCATACATTTCACATATGATGTGTTTTTGAAGTGTGGCAAAGTGATATGAATCTCAAAAGTGAAAATTCAAATTATACGATGCAATGCCGTGCAGCGAGGTGCAGTGTGTACCTAAACCTACGTTTTATATTCAGTGAAATAAAATAAAACCTGCAAAAATACTCAGTGTCATTGAAGATTATAAAAATGTGTGATAGTCAAATGAAATATGAATTATTTATGTTTTAAGCGTGGTAGCTAGTACCCAGAAATAGGTCATACAGTTTTTTTTTTTTTTTTTTTTCTGTACCCCTCACGGATTAACACCTGCCAGATAAAGACATTAGATGTCTAAATAAATACTTGTCTTATCTTATCTTCCTACTTTAAGAAACATACAGAGATGATGTTCACAGTTGTAGCGTCTATGACATTTTCTCAATAATTTTCAATTAAATTAGAATACACAGTTATTCCAGTCGTAATTTCTCTTCATTCATTTTTTCACTCCTCCTGCAGACAGCCAGGCTGTAGTACCTACAGGGTGTAAATTAAATCTTCAAGTATAATTTGCTTGTTTGATTCAGTGAGAATGAAAAGCCAATTTCTTCACTAAGAGAGAGAGAGTGACATTGGAGTGTATTTTGATAGTGGCTGAGAGAAGACAAATGTTCCTAAATACCATGTTTAAATTGTGTTTTGTTATTTAATAAAGTGTATAGTAATGTTCTTATGTTAGAAATGTTATGTTAAATAAAACATTAATTTCACAGTGCTTAACATAATTAGATTTGATTTATAATTCCAGAAACCTCATAACCTAAACCTCATAACCCCAATTAAGGACCAATTTTTGCCAGAACCATTTCTAATTGCTTAAGTCAGCTTTCACTGTATTTAATTTAAAGCAAAAAATTGAAAATCTGAGATACCACATGAGCTAATGTAATGGAAACCAGGTCCAAGCCTCTGCAGTTTATGAAGTTAATATGGCAAATTGGGTAAATATGAATTTATAGCCATTACTCATGAAAATCAAAAGTAGGCAAAGTTTTCTTTAAAGCACACAACATTAATACTTTGATACAAATGTACATAAAGTGTTTTTTATAATATCTTTAAAATAAAAGTAACAACATAACATCTGATCTCTACTAATCATTCCAGTTGATTCTCTCTAACGTACAAAACATCTCTAATTATATACAAAACACAAACACTTACATTTCCACAAACGAACACAACCATCATCTCCTGACGAGGCCAATAGAGTGCCTGTAATGTTCCAACAAACTCTCCATACAGTGCACAAATGATCATCACATTGAGCAGATAACTGGATGTCAAATCTGCTAAGACCACTTTGCATACTGGAAGAGTCCCTGAAATAATAGTGAACTTTTGAAAGTTAAATATAAATGAGGAAATTAATTAACAATTACATTAGTTATTTGAGAATAAAAAAGCACAAACTTGTCAGTTAAGAAGGAATTGGCTCTAGTTTTTGTACTCACTGAAGAGGTTTTAGGGTATAAATTCGCACATCTTTGGTGGCCACTGCCAGCAGATGAAAACTCCTACCCAGATTTGGAGCAAAAGCTAGATCATGCACAGCTTCTGTCACATTTGGAAGAGTTTCTGGTTTGTTCCATCGACGAGTATTCTCACTATATTCAAAGATAAAGACTTTTCCTCCACTAGATGCATTGCTATCATCACTTCCTACAGCGAGCATAGGAGGGTGTAACCTAAATGTGAATTTTCACAAAAACAGAATTAAAAAAAAAAAAATTGATTTGTAAATATTTGAAAAAAAAAATTTTTTTAATTAAATCATTTCTCAAATAATTCCCACTCCATTATAAATTACAATTTAACAACTTGTTTATTAAAACTGCAAATTTTCCATAAACAATTTTAAATGGGACTAACATATTTCAATCAAATGACAACACAACAAAATGAAAATCAAACATAAAAATAAGTTCCCTGCAAAAGGAATTAAGATGATAAAAACTGCTAGATAAAATCAAGTTAAATCACAATTCATTGTAAATCAAGTTGTATCATGTAGTTAAAAACTGTATCATTTACACAAAATAAGCCCTTACAGATTTTTTACATGTAGTGATCATTATCACACATGTTTATTTACTAATCAAGCTACAGACCTTGAGAGTGAAGGGTTCCAACTCAGGCAACTAAAAGGAAGTTTGCAGGAAATTTCATGTTGCAGAGTCCATTGACTCAAATTCATTACATCAGGAGCCTCATAGACTCTGACAATACTGTCAGCAGAACATGTAGCTAGAAGAAGGCCCAAATGTTTTGGAGCAAATTTTATATCAGTGACAGAAGTACGAGAATCAACTAAGTTGGTTCTCCGCACCCAGTGTCGCATGCCACGTTCACCGGGAACTGAACCTTCACCAACTGAAATGGAAAAACAATTTATCAGAATTCAATAAAATTGTGACACACATTTTTACATTAACAAATTAAAATTTGGTATCAGAGTTTCACTCTGAACACTGAAGATTTTTCCAGATCTCAATATACTCGATGAAAAACAAAATTATTTTCACATCTTTCACATGGACTTTTTGCCCAACAAATACATATCATTAAATGTTCACTCCTGAATGATTGTATTCCCTATCTAGGGTCTACCCAGCACTTAATACAATAACTTGCCATAAAATAAGACTTAAAAGTTTGAATCTGTAATATCGATTATGTGTAGGCTACATTTGTGAAGTGCGCTAATAACAGGTATCAATATTAAGTAGCTTTCTATTCTCTTCATATTAAACTAATTTTTATTTAGTCTGTTTTTTTTTAAACAAATAAATTTTACAATTGTAAACTGTCATGGGATGACAGCATTTATGAGTTGTCATAACTCCTCTATGCAGCCTACTTCTGATGGCTCTGTTTCAAATTTAAAAAAAAACGAACTTCTGTTATCTCAGACCAGATTACAATGCTTACCTATCTCTTCCCAAACAGCTGCCGTTCTATCAAACGAACAAGTTGCAAGAACCTGTCCAAATTCAGGATGAGCCCATGTGACTTTCCATACTGATCCTGTGTGTGCTTTCCAACAAGCAGTCTGATGCCAGTTACCTTGATCATCTTGATCCCACACCTGAAAGTAAAATATCGCATTATGTAATTTTCCAATGCGCAAACTCACAATCGGAGTAAAATACACAACAACAACAACAACAACAACAACAAAAACATTTTTACTTTCACAAACTGGTCACTTGAACATGTAGCTAATCTTAATCCATAAAAGTCGTAAGCTACATCATGAATGAGATCTTTATGTTCCACATTAATGCTACGAGCTTCAAACATTTTGGATAATTTATGTACAAAGTAATAATAAATATAAACTAATCATTCGCCAACAACGTGTTATAGAACTTAATGAAACATTCAAGTCGGACACCAGCAACAAATTCACACGCGGCGCGGTTCGACAGGCACTTGTTCATATTTATGCCGCCTTCCAACTGAAACGACATGGCGCGTATTGGGGAAGCGTTCTTGAATTGACGCGGGAATATTTGATTTAATACTTTTTAGTTCGAATTTTGTCACATAAATATTGTATCAGCCATGAATGACAAGTCAAGATTTGTACATATATCACACATTGCCACTCTTACATAATAATCAAGTTTGTAGCAAAATACAAAACCACTGAAAATGAAATTAATTGCACATTTAGAATCTGGAACTAATCTATTACTTATCACAAAATGAGAGTTTTTATATTACTTAAATTGTCTATATCTGTTATTGTAATTTAGAATAATTTTCAGTCTTATAACATAGTAGTTTACATTGGTTTGTGACCAGAGATAGCAAGGAATGGATTTAAAAGAATGTGAACTTTATAATAATAATAAATATCTGTAACCCACAAACACCTACCTTTATCTTAGTTCTTTCACCACTCATCACCACCATACAATAATACTTATGATAGAAATAATAATAAAAGTAATGATGAAGATGATAATAATATAATAATAATAAATATCTGTAAGTAAACATGCTGAAAAAGTAATACTTGAATTAAAGTGAAGTACTTTTAAAAATTAACAACTTCCTGTTTTCTAGTGAAGGTGTATCTTATTTCACGTAGAAATACCTAGTAGAAAGGGCGTATCTGATAAATGCAAATTGGGAAGAGTTAAAAACGGTGTGGATATCCCTAAAATTATGGTTTTAGCCTTGGCAATTTTTTAATAGATTTATTAAGTTTTTAAAAATATACACACTGGATAAAAAAAAAAAATTGAGTTATGCAATGATACACAATAAACTGAGGAAACAAGGCAGATGCAGAAAATTGATACTCTGAGATCAGTTGGCAAAGAGAAAACAATGAGATAGACTTGAAAGTATATTGTACTTATTGTGCATTTTATTATTTCATGATTGTACAACTGTACATGTAATTGTTAAATTATGCAACATTTCTGTATGTATTATATAAAATAACTGATACACATATTGTATATACTGACTATTGGTTTCAATTTGTAATGACAACCAGATGACCATTAATAAATATTATAAAAAAAAAGACAGCAGCAGTTATAGTAGTAAGAAATTTGCCCAATTCTCATCTTCACTAGACATTAAAATGCAGGCTCATTGGGAATCCCTGTTCCAGCTAGTTCAGGGAAGTCTACCTATAATTCCTTCCCATGAATTTTTTTACTCTTTGACTAATGAAGGATGGTACATTTGAGAACACCATGTGATCATTTCAGTTTCAATGTTATGAAACAAATAAATGTTATATGTTAAATGAATGTTTCTTCAGTAAAAAAAATAATTAAATTTGAATAAATACCCTTGTTGCTCTGTATTACCAATGCTCTTAACCACAAATTAAAATGTTTAATATCAACTTAAACTAAAGAAAATGGCTGTAAAATAATGTAAATTAGCATGACAAACTGTGTCAAGTAATAATTTCATAATCATTTCAGCCCAAGTCTACACTTAAGCATCTGCTTTCTAGCAGTAACCAAGTTTACACCAAGACAGCAGAAGGCACTTCTCTTTTGCATTATGGCATATGCTGCTCAGTTCAAATAAATAGTGGTATCACATCGCATTTTCTTAGAAAACATGAAAAGTCATAAACACAGCATGTCAATCAATATATGTTCATTTTCATGAACAATAATATACAATTATTAGGCATCATGTAAAAAAAAAATAAATAAATAAAAGGAAAGAAGGGTATAAAAACCTCTCACTCAGCTGTCTCATGGAATAATGAGGTTTTTAAATTTTGATTTAAATGGTTGCATTTTAACTACTTGGTCATACAGCAACCACTGTGATTATTTTAACTGTAGGGGGAACTGTAGGAGGGGCAACATTAATAACACACACAAACATCCATGCACAAAGCTTAATTCAAACCCAAAACCTTTTGAGCTGAGGCAATTATGATCCTTCAGCCTTACTGAATTTGGCTATCTTAAGCTAGTAATGTATATTTAACTCTAATTAAATAAAAAAATAAAATCTTTCAATTGAAAACATTTATAAACTGTCTTTATTTTTGTGTACAAAACTTATTTAAGTATTATTTTTATCATACTACATTAAAAACCAACTAATACTCCAAATCTACCAAACGTTGTAACTTACAAAAGTAAAATACAATTTTGCAACAAGTTAGAAACATATTTACATAACAGAAAAATGTACAAACACTATTTTAATAGTGTGGGTTTTTTTTTTTTTTTTCATTCTTTTATTTTAACCATTACAGTGGCGAGTTTGGGAATATTTTTATACTTAAAAGCATTCACGTGTACCATTATGAATAGAGAAACATTTTGAACACACTGTTAATTCAGGCTCAGAAGTGGTATTTAAAGATTTTGATAACATTTTATCAAGCATCCAGTCATGAAACGAGCTGTGAAGAAGAAAATATTGCAAAATTCATTAATACCCTTTGTCACTACACAAAGCTCTCTAAAAGAAAAATACAATTCAATTTCCAGATTTTTACCAAAATTAAGAATAAGTTTTTAGCACAATATTCCTTTTACCTTTGATTATTAATGTCATAGCCATCCAAAGTGGAGCATAACTCAGCAGCTTTCCAATCCAAATCATCATCAACAGATCGTTCATTTGAAGTATCTTCAGTTTCAGATTCAGGCACATATTCAAATATATCAATAAGAGATTCAACTGCTTTCTTTCTCTGTATTTTATTGCTTCCTTCAGGTGGATTCTCTTTTTCTTTAGGCTGAAGAAAGGTTTTTAAAATTTCTTCCTCTTCCTTTGGTAAAGCAAGATTTTCATCATAGATTTTGATCAAAGATGTTGATGACAGTAACTCCACAAGCTCGTCAATTTCTCTGTCACTCTCCTCGTCAGACAAGGGCCCATCAGAATCATCAGATGTACTCTCTTTTCCTTTCCACATGTTTCTTTGTTTTTTTCTAAGTCTCTTACAACCAAAGAATTCCTGAAATAACCATATACATCTGATTCAATTAATATGGGGTAATTAAGTTCATCTCCTATATGAAGTAAGTATAATCTTCAATAAAAATCTACTACAAAATATTCTCACCCAATAAAAGAGAAATTAAAGGACAAAAAACGAAATATGTGAAATTTAGTTTATGAAAACTTTAAATAAACATACAAAATCATACACATTCATAAATAATTTAAATAAAAAGCACTTATGACTGGAAAACTTAAATTAATAACACACTTATGCACTGAATTGTGAAAAATTAATTTCAAGAAGTCTGGAAGTTTTACCTCTTCATTGTTTTTTTGCTCACTTTCTTCATCTTCCTGCTGAGCTTTTGGGGCAGAAAAACTCAATTTGGGCGTTTCCTGGAATTAAATTGAAATATATGAAGTGCAGAAACATACATACCCCACTTTTAAAATAATCATGCGCATGTATTATTACATATTCTTCCAGTCAAAGAAACCTCAAAAAAGAAAAAAAATAAGGAAAACAATACAAGACATAAGAATATAGTAATGATTAATTTACAGTTAAGTAATGCAACTTACATTATCTTGGGATTGTTTGAAATTCTCTTTATCTCGAAGAAATTCAATTGTATTAAATTTTTTGACAAGTTCCTGAGCTTTAGCAGGGCCTCTTCTTCCATTCATAAGTACATCCTCATTCTGAAACGTAAATTCCTTGTCATTCAGTAGGACACTTCTAATTGTAGTAACTTAATGCTAATTAAGTACTTGAAAATACAATTTCTATAACAACTTCATTCAGATACTTTTTGCTGATGTTATTTATCCACAGACATTCATTTTGGAAACGGCCTATAACGCTTTGCTTAATTTTCAATAACTTCTTTCAATTCTTCGGAAGTGGGATACTTACAGGTGAGAGCTCTTCTTCACTGTCACTGCTAAGTTCGTGAAAATCACCACGTCGCTCCCAACTATTAAAACGAATCTCACTTGATTCTTTCTGCCTATTTACCATCCCTAACATTCTCTCATCCACACTGTCGCTATAGCTAATAAAATCTTTGACAAGTGGATTTGCTATATGTTCAGTGTTTGTTCCGTCATTAATCATGGAACTCTCGTCACTATTACTATGGTTATCGTCATGATCACTCATTTTTGAATTACAATTCTTGGTGGATTAGCTGACGAGGCAATAAAAATGTCTGCACTAAGAAAAACTGTTTATTACAACATAACCTACAATCCGAGGCATTATCCATTGAATCATTGTACTACAAGCCATAATTAATAATTAAATAGCAAATTCACTATTTTCGAAATTATATACTTTATACGTCAGCACTTACTACGACCACCACTTTTCAAGCAAAAAAACTCTGTTCATCACTCTCCGCGCGTGTATGTTAATTGATGTTAATGTACACAATATTTTTGAACGAAGGATCGGGACGTTCCGATTCTACTGATTCGATTCCGAAATCGATTCTTTTCTTTCGATTCCTATGAAATCGATTCTTGCTGGAATTAGGGGTCGTCCATGAATTACGTAACTCTAAAGAGGGGGAAGGGGTCTGAGGGTCTACGCTGCGTTACATAGGGGTAGTGAGTATTACTTCAGCGTTACGTAACATTAATATTTATTTTTTTACTTTTCAACATTTGCTGAAATAATTCCTTTTAAGAGTCTTGTATTAAAAATTAAAAATATTAACAAATTAATGTTTTAAAAAATAAATATACTAAAGTTATTAGTTATAAACTGTTACAATAAATGGCTTTTTTAATTTTTTTTAAAAATCTGTAAGATTACGAAGAAAATGTTCAAAATTGATATGAAGTATATTTTAGAATACATTTAAGTTGGCGCTGTAGACTCTCTCTTACATCATCCAGGACGGCGTATGCATAGCTTGTGAGCAACCATTTCTCGCCTAAGCATACTTCCTTCACTCACAACTTGCCCCAATCATATTTATTTTTTTAGTCAAAATACAACAAAACTGTGCCTGACTTATGGGGGAGAAGATAATAATCTGCGCACATTTTCTTGAGTTCCAGAATCCCATCCCATCATTTTAATTATAAATAGTTTTCTTTAATAAAACAAACAATAAATAAAAATACAATGTTAAATAGCGCGAGATTAGCAACATTTGAAAAACTATAAATTTTCATTCCCGAGCTGTAGAAAGCTTATTTGCACCCGTAAGCGAACTGCAGATTTGATTTTTCTGCATTGCTAACAACATAGTAACTCACTCTTAACTCTACTTCTACGACTACAAGCGAAACGTGGGAATAGTGAAGCTACATTTATGTCCAGAAGTAAAACAAGGGGCCATCTCAGCATTAGTTCAATGTATCAGGGAAACTGAAGGAAAACCTGATCAAGACGGGGTCATTAACCGGGTCCTGGATGCTTAAGTACATTATTTGTTACAAGCATATTAAGTCTTTAAAAAAAATACAATGAAAATGTAAACTAATTCATTCCATATCACTGTTTTGTTAAATTAAACTCCATTTTTCTTTTTGGTGATCATTATAGTCTCTAATTGTATAGAAACAGTTATGCAGCAGAAAAGATTTCGTTTTTTACTCATTTTGTATACTGACTTTCATTGTTTTATGTCATCTGGCAAAGCGTTGTCAAGTAATATACATGTATTATATATGGATATCTGGTAGTGAGCTGTTGATACTGACTGATACTGATGATGAACGTGATTTCTACGATGTGTGTTGTAATTATAAATAACAGTATTGCATGAAAATATGTTTACACAGTTACGTAAGACAGTTTTGACAAATATTACAGATTCGTTAATAAATAGGCAAGGTAATGGCGAGATTTCAAACTCAATTTCAAGGTCTGGGTACACCATCATGAGCTTCCCCAAAATATTATGCCATTTCTCAGGCGGGAATGTACATTTGCAAAATTCACGCAATGAGCCGCATAATGGCTAACAGAATTTGAAAGAATTCTGAATGCGTAACATTAATTTAGAATTTAATTCTGCTATATGTACGTTCCATTTGAGGTTTGATTGAATTGAGATACCTAGACATTTTGTTACCTAAACATCAGCTAATTTCATAAAGTTCATTTTCAACAGAGCATGCGATTGCTGATTTGAAATGCAAAAAATGCATTGAAACTTTTTTCCCTTCGTTAACTATTAATTTGTTACTACAAAACTAACTTGAAACTTCTGAAATAATTCTATTTATTGTTGTTTTTTCGCAAAGAACATTCGTGTCATTGGCAAACAGAACTGTTCTTGTGTTTTTAATAGATGAGGGCATATCGTTTACGTATAACATAAAGAAGATAGGACCTAAGAACGAACCTTGCGGGAACCCGTGTTCAATTGGTAAAGAATTGGAAATATAAGTAAATAATGTTCTTTCATGCCAGTACGGTATTTCTACTCTTTTTGATTGATGCTTCAAGTCAGAGTTTATCCAATCTAGGGCAATACCACGAATTCCATATGAAAGTAATATTGATAGTAAGATGTCATGGCCAATAACGCCAAAAGTTTTGCTATCACTAAGTTATGTTGTACTCTTTAACCATTGGCGGCTAGTGTCCCAACAGACTGGAGGTTGCACCTCCATCGAATGACGGAAATGTAATTTCCAAAATTCAAAATACGAAAATGTAATAAAAATGTAAACAGTTGAAATTAATTAAAACTAAGTTAAATAAAAGTCTTTATTGAATCATTACTTACAGAATTTTAAGTGTCGTGACCAAATCAGGTATATTGTACACCTCCCGCGCACGTGGTTCTGTCTTTGATTTCCACTGGACACTTTAGTTTGACTTAAGCACATCGCAACAAGTACCATTGCTTCGACACGTTTCACACAAATAAAATTATTTTATTTCGAAAATATCACTACCGTGGTATATTTTGTAACAAATATCCTTCCACAAACGCTCATATTCCACCAGCGCTCTCCGTGGTGTAACTGCAGACTGCTGCATCTACTGAGAAAGGGACTTCCTTCCAGATCGGCCAACTTTACACAAATATTTCATCAAACGTACTAGTAAATCTAATATCCAAAGAAAACAAATACTCTAAACATCATAAATAATATATTAAAAGCCGTCAATAATTGACTGAACTTGTGTACTTTTAATAATTAGCGAAATTCATAAATTTACGTTGCAGCTAGTCAGGCTAAGATAGAATTTTGGTATTCCCTTGAAACTCCCTCCGTCGCCGCGCATCACTAGCGTGCGCCAACCGTCTGGTTGCCAAACCAAAAGGCCCTATGTTGCCCGTGTTAAATCGAAGGGCCAAAGAGTAAATGTAGTGATCCAAGTAATACAGTCAAGATCCAAGAGCACAGTACAATGCCTGGGAATGTATCAGGCACCGGAGAGTGAGGCGATTGGACGCTCTTTAATTTCAAAACGATTTCATATACATCGATATTGCTGCAATATCTTGAATACTGAATGTCATTCAAAGGAAAATGTATATTCCTAAGACATTAAGAGATCTTTTCAATTATATCTGGGGGGTTGTGAAGCCATGGAACCTAAGCATGAGCCACCATTGTCTTTAACAAAGAGGAGTGGGGCCTAAGACGTCTTGTTTCTCCTCAGCGATTTGCCAGAGAGTAAGCAATCAAAACATTTTTCGAAATGGAATGCACTTTTTTCCATTCCAATCTTAAATTAAATACTCACGCTGATACCTCTTTCTTGATTTGTTGAGTAACAATTTTTCTAAAGCAGCAGTTGCATTCCAAATCAGAACTATATTCACTTACGTCGAGTATACAGCAAGTGTGTTTCAATTGTTCTCCTTATTAAAAACAGTGTCGTCACACCGAAGAAGAAGTGTGAATACTAACTGAAGGTGTAGAACGAAATTTTACATTAAATCTGACAAATTTTTAAAAAGTGGATAAAAGTACGATATTCGTGTTGTAACATGTGATTATAATACTCAATCGGTTACCAAACTCGGCCTCGCTTGGCAATTTTCCATTCTCGTATGGTAATAAGATGCTTTATGACTCTAATATCATAAATAACTATTATAGAAGTCTTGTGTTTGAATTCTACCTACCACCGCGTGTTCACCTTCCGCTTCGTTCAAATCAATCCGCTTGATTCAAATTACATTGTTATCATTATCAACTTTCATTTTTTTTCCTGTCTGTATGGTAAATTACATTAAACTGTATTGAAATATTATTGTGTACAGTTGTTTGTTTACTTGTTATTGACAATCACTAATGACAATCTGTGATCTGTTTCTTTGCTTTTTATTGCAATAACATTCACTTTCAAACGTTCCGCTAATTAAAATAACATTTCATTAGCTCCCATTCTTCTGACAACAACCGATGCAGGAAACAAGATGTTTTTATAGTTTCTCAATTCGTTTTCCTAGCGTATTATGATTTCGGTTTTAAATAATTGGTTTTTGGCCGCGTGAAGACAGAAAGTTAGAAAAAGAAGATTAGGAAACATGGTGAAATTCAAGATTTCAGCTCTAGCCTCGCACCAACAGAAACCTAACATTACTCGCCATTATTAATGGTATTCCTAAAACCAGGCAAATCTCAAGAAGCTTCGTCTTATCATCTTATTTGCCTTCTTCCAGTCATGTCTAAGGTATTTGACAATATATTACAAAATTTTGACCTTACTTGGCATGCAACAACATCATACCGAACCATCAATTAAGATTTTGTCACCTCTACCTTAGAGTAAGTAAACAGGATAACAACACTCATAGAAAGCAATATTCAAAATAAACAATATTGCCTTGCCTTTCTCGATTTATCTCAGGCCTTCGATAAGGTAAGGTACAAGAGAATACCTTATCGGTTTCTTCCAATCTTATCTTTCAGATCGATATTTCCAAATCAAATACCAAAATGAAATCTCAAGCCTTCTTTCTGTCAAATCTGGAGTGCTCGAAGTTATCGTGCTTGGACCCTGGTTGAACAAAGCGGATGTTCCGGAGTGTTCGGGCATAATACACGCACACCGGCAATAAACACCTGGCCCCGCGTGAGTACAAGCAGATAGCGCGGGACAGAGTCCGCAGAGGCGCCCTCCTCCACCCCATGCCACAGGAAGTAGCTGGCGGGAAAAACAAATAAGATTGCAACAACATCAGACATAAGTCGGAGTCTTGCGTGATCTTCGAATAGATATTATGTATTTATAAAAAATATATGTATATATTGTAATAATACCATAAGAGAGTAAGATATTTTCCACTAAGCAGAGGGCAACTGAAATGTATATAATGTTATATGTTATGTATAAATGTATATTGATTAAGCAATAATATTTTGTTTAATACAACCAGTAACAATTGTTAGATTTGGCATCTATAGATGCAAGAAACAAGTTTTCTGAATCCTCTTTTTCATAGTATTGCTATGATAATGAATATTGCTGAAAGTTTAATGTCATATAATATCTATATGTGCCAAATCATTGATTATGATACAGCGGGATTTTATACAGCCCACAAAATGTATGTCATCATGATCGAGTGTTTATACAGTAAAGCTTAAAATTTACTCATATGTATCTCGATAC